TTTTAAATGTTGAAGTTGAATGCATCAATCTGATGCACTTTGAGAGCAAAATTAGGGACTAAATCTATGGCAGTCAGTAGGGGCTTGGACTGTGAGCCGTAGGGTCGCCGGTTCAAGTCCCCGACCAGACTAAAGATGGAGTGTGGACTGCTACTTGGAGAGGTCCCAGTTCACCTCCTACCCTGCCATGGTGCCCTTGAGCAAGGCACCGGACATCCCCCTTCCCCCCTCACTCGCATTGCTCCCCGGGCGCTGTACAATAGCTAACCACTGCTATAGACTCCTGGCACTAGGATGGGTTAAAACACTGTGTGCTGTGTGCTCTGCATGTGAGACCATTAAAGAGGGTTTCATCCCTCCGATTCGATTCTATATGAGAAGGATTTATAATGAAAATAATTTAATAATTTTTCTTGTGAACAACTTGCAGTCAAATGCACAAAGAACCTCAGTCAAGGTATAATTTTGAGATTTAGTAAACATAATGGCCAAAAAAAGAGCATAGCATAATTAAAAAGATATTTGAGAAACGTAATGACTCACTGTTATGGCTTCAGCCATCATTAGTCTGATCTGTTTCTCCTGCCTTCTCTGTGAGAAAGCTCTGTTTTCAATGTTCCTGTGGTCATTATCATAGCAATTTCAGAATTACATCAATTTGACCCAGAATACAAGTCAAAATGAAATGTTCACAGGTGTCGCCACAGTAATTGCTCGCTCTTTTAGGTGTTTCTTTTGAATTAAGTTTAGAATTATGATGGCTACGGTTACGTGTGATAGCTCACAATTATGTGTAATTTGCATGTACTGACTTTGATGTAGGCTATTGAATACGGTTTTCTGAGGTCATGTCAGACTGAAGTGCATAAAACACCAACATTTCCTTTTATGCATATTTTATTCTAATTCATAGGGCAAATATACAACTCAGAATTTAGATATGGAGCTCCTAAATATTTAAATAGCATTTCCACCTCACAAAAAATTAAAACAGCATATGAAAAAAAAATCTCATAACATTGACACTCCATATTCGATAAAAGATATCCTCATATTGCTGTTATGACACAACTTCAGGCTGCACCAAACACATACAAAAGTAGTTCCCAAGGCATTTATTAATTATAGGGACTGTGGGAAAGAAACCCAGAAACTAATTTATCGCTGAACCATCTTTTCAACCAGTTTACACAGATGCTTTTGCATCTCAGGGTCTGCCCTCCAGTGGTTTGCCTCGTACCTCAGTGGGAGAAGTTTCTCCGTGGCGGTGGGCCCGTTCTCATCACATAGCACTCCCCTATCCTGCGGCCTGCCCCGGGGTTCTGTTTTACCCCCCCTTCTTTTTGCCCTGTACATGCTCCCATTGGGCCGCTTAATTAGCCAATTTGAGGGTGTTATTGTTATGCAGATGCTATCCAGATATATTTCTCTTTCAAACCCGTCAAAATGGAAAATGTAAACACCCTCATCGCATGTCTGTCTGCAATTGAGGAGTGGATGTCAAGCAACTTCCTACAGCTCAATGCATCGAAAACGGAAGTCTTGATCTTAGCGGCTGATAACATCGCCTCTAAGGTAGCAAGCCACCTGGGTTCATTCAGTGGTAACATAAGGGCAAACATAAAAAACCTTGGTGTAACTTTCGATCAGTCTATGCTACTACAAACACATCAAACTCCTGACCCGTACCTGTTTTTTCCATCTCAGAAACATTGCCAAGCTCAGGGGGGTTCTATCAAACGCAGAAATGGAGATGGCTATCCATGCCTTTATTTCATCCCGGCTTGATTACTGTAATGCTCTGTTCTCCTGCCTCAACAAAACATCAATAAACCGGTTACAACAGGTCCAAAATGCTGCAGCCAGATTGCTCACTCCCTCCAAAAAAACATGCCACATCACTCCGATTCTGTCTGCCCTGCACTGGCTCCCTGTCCATCTCAGAACCCAATTTAAGGTCCTAGTTTTCACATATAGAGCTGTCCATGGCCAAGCCCCAGCCTACATTATTGACCTGATCCACCCTCATAGTACAACCCGGGCCCTGAGGCCCTGAGGTCCTCTGAGCAAGGCCTCCTAAGGGTGCCCCGAAACAGGCTAAAGACCAAGGGTAACCGTGCCTTTGAGGCGGTGGCCCCAAGGCTATGGAGCAAACTATCCCAGAAAATGAAAACCTCTGCTTCAATAGAGATTTTTAAGGGGCAGTTAAAGACCCACCTTTTCCGACAGGCCTTTGGGTCGCCGGAGGAGGTGAGTTAGTAGCTGCCTTTTATTGGTGTTTTATCCTATGTATTAACTGCTGTTGTTTTATGCCTTTTATTCTACATTAATAGTTGTACTTTGAATTGTGTCCTGTGTACTGTACTGTAAAGCACTTTGTACATCCGTGTTGAGAAGGGTGCTACATAAATCAAGTTTTACTTACTTACTTACTTTTGTATGTAGGCCTATTCCTTTTTGACTACTGAGTCTCGCACTTTGAAAACCTGTCCTCTAGTTAATTTGTGTTGCTGGAAAAAGCAGAGAGCACCCCACATCTCAAATGGTAAACTGCAGAGGCTTTTACTGTTTACTCAGGCGGCAGTGAACATTGGACCATTTATTTTTCTTCAGAAGGGGATCTGCAATTCGATGACATTTACCCTTCACCTGTTTGAACAGAGAGATATCGCTAGTGTTATGTAAAATGACAACCAGACTTTACGCTTAAAGGGGGCTTTCTAAATCTGACAGAACTAGTGTTATGGCTGCCGGATTTGGCACCCTCTCTGTAACTTTGGACCAAGATGGTCATAATCTCACCAAAAAGAAAAGCCTGTAAACTTTCCTCATTGTTTGACTTATTTATGTTACTTGAATATATACTTACTCTGTTGTTAATTATTGTTTTTAGTTTGTACGTTGTTATGTGCCAGGCAGGCTGTTCTTGTGTGTTTTCCCTCCTCCTGCTCTTTGCACTTCTCCTCCTTTCTACATTTTATGTAATGGGTAGGCCTACCCTCTACATTTCACCATGTAGGTAAAACTGTGTCAGACACTCTAGGTTATTAGATTATTGCCAGCCTTTTATTGGTTTTATTTCCATTGTTAGTAGATTAGACAGTGAGAGCTTTTTGTTTGTGCTTTGTTTCAAAGGATATTTAGATATGGCCTTCTTTTGTTATATTTTATTTTATTTGGCAACATTGCCTTTGTCTTCTCCTCCCACCCCCTTAAAAAACATGTGTTGGCATTTTCCCATGATGAACATTAAATATACGTGCTCACTTTTATTCTGACACTATTGTGGTGTCAGGCCTCTGTCTCCATTTCACCTAAACAAATGTTGGGGACATCATTGTAAAGAATCAAATATGTTTTGCTACCGTACTGGCACTATTTCATGTTATTGACTGACAAGTTGTGCCTTAAAGGGTTGTATATGAATCTTGGAAATAAAGTGTAAGTTCAATAAATACATATTTTTAACTAAAACAATTTCAGGACTAGTTTCACTACGGAGTTCTGTTTTCGGGACACGGGAAGTGGGTGTAACCAGGCAACGCCGAAGTTACCATGGCAACAAGGCTTGTCTCCCAGGAAGTTTGTAATGCCTGAACAGAGATCAATATAGATCGTTTTTTTGTTTCGTACCGTAGCAGATAAGTTATTTAACATGTTCATAATGTTAATACCGCTTCTTAAATAGAGTTGTAGATATGTTTCAATGTTGTTTTGAATTATTGCCATTATCTAAATGGAGCCGGAGAGAAATGAGGGTAAAACGATGCGAGCTCAGAAACACAACAACAGGGATAAATGGATGTCTCTCACCCCCATGGTAAATACAACTTTTAATACACTGTTATCATTTCTTGACAGTATAATATTTAATCTAACCATTCAACGTTGAGGCCTCAGGCTCAGTTAGTAAGACTGCTAACTAAAGAAGAGGTTCGCAACATAGCTTAACTAGCTATCTACATGCTAATGATTAGGGGGCCTATGTCTTATCTAGAGAAGTACCAGAGTGTAGGAATACTCTGTTACAAGTAAAAGTCCTGCAGTGCAAATGGTACTCAAGTAAAAGTATAGCATCAACATATATTTAAAGTACCAAAAGTAAAAGTACATGCAGTTTGATCCATTTCAGATGATATGTTTTATAATGATTGATCATGAAAGTGTTATCAAAGCTGGTAAAGGTGCAGCTAGTTTGAATGACTTTGTATACTGCAGGGTAGCTTGTGAATTTACTCCAGGTGGAACTAAAGTCTGATTTAAGACTTGGTTATATTTCACATCATTTATCCAGATCTGTAAAATAATTGTAGGTATTTATTAAATGAATGTAGTGGAGTAAAAGTACACAATTTACCTCTGAATTGTTGTGGAGTATGAATTACAAAGTAACACAAAATGTAATTACTCAAGTACAAGTACCTCAACATTATTGTACTTGAGTAAATGTACTTTAGCTACTCTACTCCACCGGTCGATGTCTCTATTTATTAGTAAATTGTTAGTGAAGTACTTTTACTCAAATCCTGCAATCAAACACAAATAACTTGTAATTTACTTGAGTATTTTCATTGTATGCAACTGTATACACCACACAAGGTAAAAGTGTAGTTCTTGTTTGACAGCTTTAGTTACTTTTCATATTACTGTTTTCAGTTGAAATTATTTTTACTGACAAATTGGTACTTTTACTTTTTATACTATTAGTTATTTCTGCTGATTGTACTTGTACTAGTATTTGTTTTTTAATGCCTGGCTTTCACGTCAAACAAAGCATTTTCACGGTGGTATTAGTACTTTTATTGAATCTCCCGCTGTTGTTTGCAGGTCAACAGCTGCAAGTTGCACATCACTGCTGCCAAAGCAACAGAGAGAGCCCAGAGGATGGTGAGGCAGGACAAAGAACACACTGGAGGACGAGCTATTTGATTCATAGCGTAGACCTTCTGATGCAAGCTTTACAATGTATTATGTTTGTTGCTTTACAGACTGAATCTCACGAACTTGTAAAAGACACGAACATGAATCACGGCCAAACAACAAATTTTTACCAAGGTAAGCTTGACCCAGTTTCCTGTCTTTTATATCTACAGAAATAAATACCTCTAGTTTGATTGAATACAATTGTAGATATAGGACAATAACATCGATTTATTTTGAAAAACCCTATAGCATACTAACTACTATTTGATTGACCGTTTGCACTCTTGTTTCACCTTCCCTCTGTAGAGAGAAGGTTGCATTCTTCCAGAAGACTTGTCCACACTCCTCCAGTGCCAACATTTGCCAGCGACTGTACAGACTCCCCTCTACATAATGTAGTGCCACTAGCCTGTGGTGCTCAAAGTGGTTTGGATGCAGTTTCACATTCCTCACAAGATGCAAGAGGAAAGTCCAGAGGGCTAACCAAGTCTGCAGGGGCCTCGTTCTACCGTAATGCCTTAAACCTTGCCAAGCCTGCAGGTAAATATGACAATATTAGAGCCGTTTAGAGTTTTTACCATACATATATAGTATATAGCATCTTGTTGTGTATCCTTACCTCAGTGTGTAATGTACAGGTGGTTCTGGAGGATATAATGCAGTTCCTGGTAATGCCTTCACTCAATTACCCGGTGACAGCTTTGTTTCCAATTTTCAACGAATCGACTTAGACAGGTACCTTTGTTTTTTTCTAAATTATATTTATATGTATGTTTGATTTAGTTATATGAATCTTTACTCAGAATTTTGTTCAAATTCTTCCTTCCTATCGATGCCATTTAGTTTGGTTTTCTTTATGAACTCAGTCACACACAGTATTTGCAGGATAATAATTAAGGATTTAACATAAAGTGGTAAGAGCTCAAGTTTGCCACCAGGGAGCAGCAGTCCCATATAAGAGCTCCTTCCCTGGTGACTAAGCAGAACAAAGTCATTTGCCTCAGTAAAAACCATAGCTTGAAGGTTGAATTCAGTTGGAATGTCCTGAAAAATAAAGTCCTGAATTGTAGTCAACCATGTAAACCCTACATCTTGCGAAATGTTCTTGTAATTTCCAGGCGCTGTCTGGAGGAATGCCCCCAGCTGGGCAGTATGGATGAACTCCAGCTTCTCAACCTGCAGCACAATCTAATCACAAAGGTCCTGCATCTGTCACATCTGCAGCAGCTGGTTTTCCTGAACCTGTACGACAATCACGTCTCTGAGATGACTGGCATCGAATCTCTAAGCTCTCTCAGGATCCTCATGCTGGGGAAGAACAGGTCGGTGGTCATCAGTGGATTCATAAGCAAACAAATACAAACATTTGAACGGATTTATTTTGAATTGCCTCTGCTAAACAGTAGGGCTGTCCCGAATACCATTTTTCGGGCTCCGGATATTCGGTAGTAATCAGCAGCGAACCGCTTCAACACGTGTATTGCGGTTTATTCACGGCATTCATTTTGTTATTCTACTAGAGCAGGGGTCGGCAACCTTTTTGATATGAAGTGCCATTTAAAAAAAAAAATGCTATCAGCGTGCCAACGATCGAGAATTATCAACGGGGNGGGGGGGGGGAAGCAGTTTGTGGACCTGTCAGCGCAACTTACATGATGCCGAATTTAACAAACACATTTAAATAATTGGTTTAAACGGCATAATAATAAGGACGGTCGTCCGTTCTGTGATTCTCCAGAGCACACATGTTATGATATTGTCCCTTTAAGAGAG